CATGGAAGAGCTGATGGTCCTGCCATGTCCCACCATCTCTGGCAAAGGAGTTTGTGTAGTGGTGTCCGTGGAGTGAAATATTCCCAGTGAAGCTGTGAGTGGCACAGAGGAGCTCATTGATACCCTGACCATCCATGGGCAGAGCTGTTTGATCACTCCCTGTACTGTCACAGGTTCTTCCAGCACCTCCTGAGCTTCTTCTGAATGCCAGTGCTACAAACTACTCATCTCACTGGGTTATACTCCTCAGAAAGCAAAGCTACACTCCAGAACCTCCTCCTAGCCAGGACCTAAATACAAGTAGAATTTAAATTGTAAAGGAGCAATGCAGTGATGTTAACTGTGCAAAATATCATTTATGGAGTCTAGGAAGGTCTGGGGAGGGAGCAGGTGGAGGATGTGCTTCTCCAGGACAGCAGCAAAGGACGAAGGCTGTCTCAACCTCTACCCACCAGCTCCCTCCTCCAACCCACTTGATTTATCTCAGACCCCTTCCAAAGAGCCATTTAGGGCTCCAGCCTTTTGCAGCATATTGCCAGGAAGATCAACTATTTAGCACAGCCTCTCTCAGCTTTTTATATAGCTCCTAGCATGGATATCTAAGCATTATATATTTCTTTTTGTGCAGTATTTCTGACTCAGTATTTCCTGCCTCCTTGACAGTGACTGAGTAAACAGCAGAGCTGCCAGAGGAAGAGCCCTGTGTTTACAGAGCAACAAGCCCAAATGTGTCTTTTTTTTTTCCATCAGAAGGTGGCGATGCTTAAATTAACCCTCATTTTTATCCCACACTAAACTTTTGCCCTCGGTTGCTGCTGACAGAGTCAGCCATGAGTCGGTGGGCCGAGATCTGGGGAAAAGTTATTTGGAACTCGTCTTAAAAAAAGTGTGGCAAACTCCCAAGGGATGAATTTTCAGCTGCAGCTGTCTGGGCTGGAGTGAGGGCTTAGATCCGATGGCAAAACGCTGCTTCTCATCCCACTTGACTCTGCTGCCCACCAAAAATGTTAGAGGATGGGTCTGCCTCCTCTCCCGTGGAGTGGCCATTCCTCTTGGCTCTTCTAGCTTGGTCCTAGGCTTGGAGAGGTCTCAGGATAGTGTTGCATGCCCTGCACCTACACTAGGATGAGAAGTGGGCTTTCACTTGGGTGCAGGAGTGGAGATATCCAAGATAAAGGCGTTTTGAATTTCCGTTGCTGGCAGGAACTTCAGCCAAGCTTACAAAGGGTCCAACAGGGGATGTTGGAAGATGGGCTGAGCCATGGGCCATCTCTATAATGTGTGAATACAGGCCACCCTGACCTACTGATCACATATGGTGAGGCCCAACATGATGAACATGCTCAGCCTTCAGGTTTATACCCCAAACTTGTCCTGTATGAGACCTCTTTAGATGTCCCCTTGGCATTCTCCCACTTGCCACGTGGTTTCCCAATGAATTCTTCTCCCAGACCAGGCAGAGAAGGGTGGTCAACGCTGCTACCTGGTATAAATACATTTTATTTTAAACTATAGGCACTGAATGAAGGTCATCCCGTAAACACACCCAGATTATCTACAGGCCAGAGCACCCCCAAATTAGTAATACAATTCGTGTTTAAAAATACAGCCAAACTGATGAAAGATAATTTGCTTGCTGCCCTGACATCACCACCTAGGCATGGGGCAAGCCAATCCACAGGTTATTTTTATATAACTCCATGAGGCATTTCCAGAGCAAATAAAGTTCACTGGGCAGGGCAGTGACCCGGCAGTCTGGTTTCAGAGCTTTTCAGCCCCCTCAAGGCTTGTCACTGGTGTGTAGAGGTCTGCAGGTCAGGGCATGGCTTCATCAGAAGTGCCCCGGGCATGCAGAACGTGAGGGTTGTTCCCTGCTGAGCCGCTCTTCCCTGCTGGTCAACTCCTCAACTTTCCCCTGTGGTTGCTCTGCCTCATCCCTTTTGGTTGCACACCCTTTGGTCTTCATGTTCTCCAAGGGTCTCAGGTCCTGCTGGGAGCATGGCTGACCTGCAGCCAGGTGAATTGCCTGTGTAAATCCACGGATCAAACAACCTGGATGGTCTCCTCAGACATGGACACCCCAACGGAGGTGGGACAGCTCTGCAGGGGTTGCCCATCAGTTCAGGTTGGCTTGCCCATCTGTACACTCTGTGGTACTGGTCAAACCTCCTGTCTGGAACCTAAATTTAAGGACAGAGCTCCCTGGACCACCTTCCTCGTGCACCCCTCATGCCAGATCTGAAGCAGATGGGTCTGTCAGGATGCTTCAGGATAGCCCTGGCACTGCAAGTCCAGCTGCCATGGAGGTTCATGCCAGGCCCAGCTCTGGCCTGTAGGCAGGTGGGGCCTAGAAAGGCTCTAAGAAGGTTCTTTTCCTACTTTGTCAGAGGAATCCGTATCACCCCCTTCTTTTGCAGACTGCATGCAAATCATCTCCTTTTTCAAAATTTGGCCCAACCTGAGTCTGCAGATGGAGCAAAATTATTTCCACTGTGGCATCACATTCTGGGTGAAAGTGATCACAGCGACTTGTGCATCCATCCCACATTCCATCCCCCTCTCCCATCCTTCATGGTGGTCCATCAAAGTCTGCACAAGCTTTTTTGTGACTGAAGGAGACAGGGGACCCAAGTCCCTTTTCTTTTACAAGGGTCTTCTTCAGCTGCAAAGTTGGGGGCAGCGTTCATTCATGTCTCTGCTGAGTGGCATCACCCACAGGCTGCCACAGGATAATAAAAACAGAGTGATGAGTGGTGACTTCCCTTCTTGCCCGGCTCCCATCCCAGGCCTGATGAGTTTGGTTTGGTTTGCTGGTTGTTTTATGGAATTTTTAGGGGGTTGGTTGGTTTGACTGTTTGGGGTTTTTTACAGAAAATATTTTTTTGAGAGAAAATGTTGAAGTCTCAGTTTTCTCTGTTGCAAGGTTGCAGAACAGGGCACTGTGTTTGAAGCAGAAACAGGAAGGGGAGAGTTTCCTGCAGTGGTTTTTATTCTTTCCCAGTAATCCAGGACCACAGACCCATGCAGTTATCCCAAGCTGCTAGGAATTTCCCAGCGTGCCCCAACGATCCCAAAATACAGTGCAGCTCCCCAGGTACATCAGTGTGGACTTTCCCAGGCAGGACAGGGAGTGTTGGGGGCAGGATGGGTTGGGGGCTGGAGCTGGGTGGAATGCTGCATGAGATGCAGGAAACAGTGCCAGGGGATGGAGAGGTCTCAGAGTATCAAGGAAATGCTCCGGGGTTCAAAGGGAGCTTTTTTCCTCCACTTTATTGGTGGACAAGGCAAATGAGGGGCATGGAATGCTCTCGCTTGTTTTTTTAATTTCTCAGTAATTCAGGGCATCATTTCTCTTCGACTTCTTTTTCGCATTAAAATTCAAGTGCAAATTCCAAAACGAGTAATTTGGTAGCTCTGGGATGATAACTTGAGCTGGCGAATAACTCCTCTGTCACTGCCCAGGGACTGGCTGGATAATGAAAGGATGAACTCTGCAAACTCACCCAGAGAGTCTGGGAAGACCCAACAGGATTTGGCTGCAGGTTGACGCTGGAGTCGCAGACACAGTTGGGCAACTCACTTATGGAAATGGGTGTAGAGAGGAATTAGTCATCACTGTTTGGTTAATAAGTGCCTTCATTATTTTACAAGTCTTTTTCCCTGCATATGCAAATACATATTTTATTTTTCCTTTTGTAATGAAACATATAAATAGCTCCTGCCTTGGATTTTCTGTTCATGAAGTTGTGTCATGAAAATAATCATTGTGCTTTTGCCTGGCTTTCTTTAGTAGCTGCTTCACTTACCTTTGTTCTAAATGAAAGATCTCCTGTGTCTTGTCCAGGACACGAGGGTGAACTTTGGTGTGGTGGCTTTTATATCTCCCCTGGCTTTGCAGAGAGCAGCAGCAAGGCCCTCTGTCTCAGGCAGGAGGAACAAACTCAGATGAAAAAGATAGAGGATGACTTATTTAGCTGGTGGATTTCAAATGTTGTGAAACCCACCCCAGGAACACACGGTGTGGAGAACGAACTTGTCGTCCGCTTTAATATTCCCCTGCTTAGCGTCTACTAATTTTTAGTACTGGGGAAAGGTCACTATGGAGACAGACAAGCAAAGTCACGTGGGATGTCATGCAAGAAGCTCTGCAGCATCACTTAGAGCCCAGGGAAACCTTCTTGACTCTGAGCACGATGCACTCCCTTGTGCCATCCTCAAGAAAGGTTTTTGCTTTTCTGTGTTGTCCCATGCTCTTTGCCACACACTCCCAACACAAACGTCCCTTTTCACATCCTGCCTTTGGACAAACCCCTGTTTTCTCCCCAGCTGGAGGACTGATGGGTAGGCATCTATCTCCCTACATGCTTCCTCCTGATGTTGATCCATAAATCACGTCACTGGGATAATCCTTAGTCATAGCAACCATCAGCTCAGGAGCAGGGTGACCTTTTAATGCCAAGCCCAGGCTGCCCTGATCTTCTGGTCGGGCAGGGAGCCAGTCTCTGCCATTATTTTGTGAGACAACAGCGAGCAGCTAGACCATTAGGATGTTCCTGGCCAGACACTGAGTCTGCTGAAGATATTGGAATGAATGGGCTGGGTAGGTCCACCTGGATCACCAAGCCCAGCATGGCCACCAGCTTTTCCCCTGCATTTTATTTAAGGTCTTGGTTGTGCATATGGAAGAAAGTCCCTGTGTCTGTTCTAGAGGGACAGCAGGGCACAGGGGACACCGTCTCTGGTGCAAGCCATGGCAGCTATTGCAGGAGCTGGTGGTATTTCTACAGTACCTGCCTTCTGGAGGCTTTGCTGTGTTGAAACCCCGGCCACTCCACGTGCATTGAGTAATCTCCCCACTGTTACCAAAGAGTCAGTCTGTCTGTCTTCCTCCCCCCACCCTGAGTTTCAATTTCCTCCTAATTCTCTCTTTAGACAGCCGTTGCCTCTCCGTGGCGATGCGGTTTTGCTGATGCAGCCTCCTGTCTCTGTCCCTCTTGCAGAAGGATTTCACCATGCGGGAGGAGCTGCAGCAGCGGGACGTGGAGCGCTGGCTGGGCTTCATCACCTTCCTCTGTGAAGTCTTCGGGACCATGAGGAGCAGCACTGGAGAGCCCTTTCGAGTCCTGGTCTGCCCCATCTACACCTGCCTCAGGGAGGTAAATGCCTTCAGAGTTTGTCCTGCTCCACCAAGCTGTCACATTGCAGTTTGGAGATGCCCACAGTTCATAGATGACAGTGGAAAGATTGTGGCTGCCCCATCCCTGGAAGTGTTCAAGGCCAGGTTGGACTGAGCAACCTGGTCTAGTGGGAGAAGTCCCCGCCCATGGCAGGGGGTTGGATCAAGATGATCCTTAAAATCACTTTCAACCCAAGCCATTCTAGGATCCCGTGTTTGCTTTATGATTCCTAGAGATTTGCCTCGCCAGCATCAACGCTTCTCACCTCAAAGGTACCTACATCTGCAGGGATGCTTGGCTCTTCCTGCATGTTGTGTTTCTGATCATTAAAGCACAATAATTAAAGCGCATGCTCCTTTTGTCCGAAGGTTTGCAAAGACCAGCAGTTGGGATGGCAAACCCAGTGTTTGAGTTTGCAAATTTGTTTGCAAATCCCGAAGTTGTGAAAATCCCCACCTCCCCACCTAAGTGGCTTAAAAACCTTCTTAAGGCAGGTGAAGCCACCTGAATGGATGAGGCAGACTGAGAGGAGGAAAGAGGGAGAGAAATTAAGTCCCTTATGCTCTTACTCCCCACCTAGCGAAGAAGAAACCCAGCCCTGTCAGCAGCGTTGAGGGCATTTCAGACCCTGAGCTCCTGATGAGCTCAGGTCAGACCCTGAGCTTCCCCACGGCTCAGGGTGGTGGCAGAAACCTCAGTGAGTATGTTCAGAAGAGACAGCTTAAGCGTTAATGTTCAGTAGAGGAGGAGAGGGCTTCCCCCCATCCTGTTTGAAAGATGGTTTTGCCTCCTGCTGCTGCCTGTAGAAGGCTTTCTCAGAAAAACCCGTCTCGTTCCCCAGGGTTGGAGCTGTGAATCTCAAATTGTCAGTGGTGCTTCTGTCAGGCCATAAATAACTCGCTATAAAATAAGTTCTCTGCTAGACCTCGGGCAAGGGGAGGATAAAGAAAGTGCTGGTGATGACTTTTTTACATGCATGGGAAGTTTTCTCTGAATGCAAACACACCATAAACGTTTTGTCTTGTTGGTAATATTGTGGGTAGGGTTCACAGATGGTGACTGTAGCTGTGAGGAGGAGCGCAGGCATCGTGATGAGGCACACATATCCAGAGGAGGAGGTGGGACAGGAACACTAAGAATAGCCAAACTTCCCCAAAATCTCTGCCCACAGAGGTATGTGTCACCTTACAGGGAAGATCTTGACGTCTAGCAAAGTCCCCGTTTCCCTCTGCTTCCCATCATAAAGGTGACACAACCCAGCCCTGATTCTGCCAGGATTTTTCCCTGCCCCCTCCTGTCTGCCCTTGCCATGCCGTCACAGTCCCTTTTGTCACCTTTCTGGCATGTGGGGACATGGTGGTGATCTAGAGGTGAGCAGAGGGATATGAATTTCATGTATCAGGGATATTTTTTGCTACAGGGCAGCTCCATAATAAGACTTTACTAATTATATCAAGATGTCATGCGTAAATTTGCGCTTAAAAATACATCTCTGTTCCTTAGCAGGACAGGTCTGTCCCTGTGGTGTTGTTTTGTCAGAGAAGATGACTTTCCTAGATGGCCTTTAATAATAAGATCTTTAAGGTCCTTTTCAACCCAAGCCATTCTGTGATTCTAAGAAGACTCTTAGCTTAGCTGACATGGGTGAGCCTGACTCTCCCAGCACTCCTACCCCAAAATGGTTGATCTGTGACTGCTCACTCTGCAGTGCTTTGACCTTGACTCATGCTGTTCCTCTTCCATGGCTCTTGCCACTGGTTTTTGATGCTGTCAGCTAATCCTGGTGCGCAGGGCCAACCCAGGGGAACAGGATCACTTATTTATCAGCAGTGATAGGTGCCAGGCTCCAAAATGGTTGCCAGAACCAAAGCCAGGCTGTAGACACAGCTGAGGAGGTGGTGGGCTCTTCCAGCTGCACCCAGGAGAGGACAGGGGCATCTTGCACAGGCTGGCCCTGCTAGGTGCTCCATGAGGGTGTGGAAAGTCCCTAATTGTGCAGAGTGCTCATCTCTTGGTGAGCTCCATGAACCACATGGCCTTTGTGCCAAGGAAGGAGGGGGTGTCACCATGGCCTGTAAGATTTGAACCTCCACATGCCTTGAGACAGATTCACAAGGTGCAGTAGCACGTACCGTGGGTATTTTCTCCTTCTGCTGATCAACATATATGTCCCCATGTACAGTCTCAGTCCCTCATCCCTGACTCCTTCCCTCTTGGGCATCCCCCAGCAAACTCCTTCTCTGTGCTGCCCGCAATCCTGCACAGCTCCCTCTGCCTTCATCCACCCATCCTTTGACCAGAAATCATTAGCAGAGACAAGATAACATCACTCCCTCTGCCTGTCCTTTCAGCTCCTCTTGCTTTTTAGTTTCTTTTTTTTTTTTTTTCCTTTTTCCCTTTTCCTTTATAGCTCTGGCAGACTCAGCCAAAGGTCAGTGAGAGAGTGAGCAAGAGGAAGGGGAAAGTTGCCTGATGACTGAGGCAGGAATGTCTCTTCCCTTCTCCCTGCAAAGCTTCCTCTCTCCAGCTCCTTTCCTCTCCCCCCGAATAAAAGTTCATTAACAGCATCATTAGCTGGGAGAGAGGGAGTGAGGATGGCAGTGAGGACATCCTTGCTGGGTGAGGAGGAGCTGGGGACATGGCTGGGGCATTGGGTGACAACACCAGTGCTATTTATTGAGTGATGTAGATCAGTTGGTTTTGTGAGCTGAAAAAGACCCCAAAAAATCAAAAGAGAAGTTCATTTGGAGTGAGGCTGGAGTGATAAATGCTGGGGTTTGCTGGTTAATGGAACCAATGCTCGTCACTGTACTCGGGGAAACAGGCAGACGACTGTGTTGGATGTCAGACACAGGAATAGGTGTCTGATGACAGCAAAAGAAATTTGGGTAGAGCTGTCACCTCACCCAGGCTGTGTTTTGGGAGCCAAGGGAGTGGCTGTGCCCCTTGATAACAGCATGGTCCACACCGAGCCCCCATCCCGGAGGGCTCTGCCACATCCTCCTCTGGACCCAAGGATCACTGGAGCCGACTGCTTAAAAACAGGGTGGAGGGAGAAGGAAGGGTCTGCTGCCACATCCAACACCATGACTGCATCTCCTGAGAGCTCAATCCCCAAAGAAACAATAAGTTTAATTTCCAGAACTATTCTGAGGGTTAGGGGTGAGGTCTGTACAGGTGGAGAGTGTCTTCACAACAACGCCTGATGGGGTCAGCATTGGGATTTTAGGCAAAGAGGTGGTTTACCATGGGAAGTAAAAGGTGGGTCCATCCAAATGGTTTGATGGAGCACAGTGAATTTGAATGATGGTTTGGATCAAAACACGATTTTGTTCTTGGAACAGTGTGTATTTTACGTTGGAGAAGGGAAATGAATCCCCAAGGTGAACCTAAAGATCAGAATTGGAGACAGCTGGGGAAAGCAGGAGGGCCCTTTGCAGATGAGAACAAGAGGACTATTGCAGCCATCAAATCTGGGAAGCCTGTGAAAAGAATAACAAAGTAGAGATGTTAAAAAGAAATAAAAGAGCTTTCCTCCTATTCTTCCCTCAGAGCTTCGGGGAAACAAGGGTGAGCTGGAAAAGGGCATTGTTCCTGGGATAAAGGCTTTCCCTGTGAATGGTGGTGCTGCAGCCAGGGCACTGTGGGCCTGGCCCTTGCCTGCCTCCCAACCTGGCTCTTCTCATTTAGGAGCAGTGGTGGCATCTTCCAGGATGATATTCCTTCATGGATCTTTTATCTGTCTGAAGGAAAACAGATTTAGCAGTTCTAGGAACTTGTCCTGGCTCCTGTGCATGATGGTCTCAGCATGAGGGAGTTCCACTGTTTCTACATTTTGCTGCTATAGCCCTCTTTACTCAGGCCTCACTTTACTTCACAAAACCACTCTCAGTTTGTCCCTGTACATCTCATTCTGCCCTTCTAGGATGGTGAGGAGTGAACATGCTGACGTCCTTCCTGCCCCAAAGCCTCTGCCCCGTGTCCAAACCCTGAGGACCACATTCAGCCCTGCTCCAACACTGCTTCACATTGCATGTCCCCCAAAACCAACTAAAACCAGAAGAACAACCAAGGGACTTTGGTTCTTGCAGCCTGGCCATATTTCTTCTTTACCATGGCCTTTGGCAGTGTCAGCAAAATGTAGAAAAGGGGTTAACACAAGGGAGCAGCAAATGTCAGCTGAACCATCAGAACCCTGTGCGTGGTGCAAGAAGTGCCCTGTGGCTACTGAAGATGTAGAGATAATAAATAATATCACTTGCCATCTATTGTTCACTGATTGTCACCACTTTTGACTTCCCTAGCCCTTTACTAAGCAGAGTTGGAGCTGGCTGTTCTTCATCCAGCTCTGTGCTGCTGTGGCTGCGTGTGTGTCAGTGGGGTGGGCATGGGCCACCCCAGCTCAGTGACCTCCCTGATTCATCCCTCACTGCTGCTGGGGAGGAGGAGAATTAGCACTGGATCCTGAGAGACCCAGCCCAGTTCTTGGTGATTGCTGAAGTCTGCAGGGAAGGAGGGCTGGCAGCCAGTGTGGAGCCACGGCCGCGCTCTGTAGGAGCCGGGACAAATGAGTGGTGTTGGGAGGTTTGGCTCCTCTTGTGTCTCAGTCTCATCCTCAGTGGATGCTGATGGGACACTGACTCAGGAGGTGCCTCTGGGGCTGGGAGCTGCCACCTTCCTGCCAGCCCCCTGCCAGGGGCAGCCACTTACAGCCAAGGTGGTTGGTGCTGAGTGCTGCTTTGGATGCATTTGTTTATTTTTATGACGCCATGTAGCAGCCACACCTGCCTTTACAGCCAGGTAACCTGAGCAGTTGCCTATGGCAACAGAGCGAGGAGGTGGAAAAACTGGCTTGGGGGACTTAAGCTCAAGAAGATGCCAGGTGGCAATGCCACTATTGTCCCCTCAAGGCACCTCACTGGCTGGTGTCCCACGGGCAGGCAACACAGGGTGGGCTCTGCCTGCTCTCACCTCCCATA